GGGGGGGGGGGGGGGGGGGGGGGGATCTGAATCTGACGTACGAAGACAGCTCTGGCATATGTACGATGTAAAGCCTACATGCTGCACCCATGTTTTCAAGATAACACAGGTCACGGGTTGACCGAAGAATCGCACCAATCCATCACGTAGGGCATGGATTATAAGAGAAGAAACCATGTTCCACGCCATCGTCTTTGTGAGGTGTCCCACACTGCTACAACAGCGGTGGCTGATCTCACGTAGCTATGCTATGTCGGCACACGGCCCTCAGTCACGACAGTCTACTGCTGTTCCAGCGACTTCAAAACATCTCATGAGCAGAAAATAACATAGCGGACTGCGTAGTTCCACAAAGCAAGGGACCCTGAGCCTACCAAAACATCTTACTTTTTCGGACGCGGCTACAACATGTAGGCTGTCCGCCGATTGTCGAAATAGCGAAGAAAAATAGTGCACACACACGATAAAGTATGCGGGTTCACATACATGGTCGAATGCAGGGCTTCACTGCGAAGCGTGTAAGTACCGCCTTCGTTGGTCCCTTTGACGAACATCGCCACTGTAGCATTGTTCGGCCACCGGACTGCCTTGGCTATCCACAACGGAAAAAGGCCCGACCATGGACATGGCTATGTAGGCAGCAACGGACAATTGGCATCTAGAGTATTTTGTGGTAATGTATGCTACAGGATTTACTGTTAATAATGAGCCGCGGAGGGAGAAGCACGAATTTTTTTCTTCACCCTCAGGATATAAAAAAAGGCTCTAAATATCGGGCTCTTTCAACCATCGCGCTGTAGAGCGACCCTTCCGCAAAACCCCGCGGGGAATGGTACGTCAAAATATTGTCCCTTTACTTGACGAGAACAAGGTCAATGGAGCAACGCTTTACGGTGTGTTGGGCTGTGAGGAGGAACCTAATAAGGGCACTCTTCGTCACACCGGTTTCATCGCGCTCTGACAACAGATGGTCGTGCTTGACACGCATTTGTTACGTCCCCGGGAGTTCGACGGGAGAGAGAGGTAAAGGAACACAAAAGCGGAGATCTCCTGCACACAGCAGCAGCAGTTAGTTGCTCGGTTTCCAGCCCGGGGGACACAGAGGAAGCACTCAGTAAAGCTAAACACGCAAGACCGCTGGGGGGGGGGGGGGGGGG